CCACCCCCCCCCCCCATCTAGAGCGGGCAAGCTATTGAGGCGCTAACACCCCCCTTTCAGCGGGGGGGCGGGATCTGCGGATCGCCCTGTTCGCTCACCCGCACTCTCTTTGCCCCCCAAATCCCGACTCGCGGAATTAATTTACACCAACAGGGACCCCTCCCTCCTTAGCGCCCGGCCCGAGGGGGATGTGGGAGGCTTATGGCGAGGGGCTCCGAAGGAGATGCCAGTCTCGCTTCTGCCTCGCCTAAAGCGCCTGGGGTTTCTAGCGCCAGGTACTCGGCGCGCAACCGGCGCACAAACGCCGGGCAAGCCAAGCGCTCTCCGAAGTCGGAATTAATTTACACCAACAGGGACCCCTCCCTCCTTAGCGCCCGGCCCGAGGGGGATGTGGGAGGCTTATGGCGAGGGGCTCCGAAGGAGATGCCAGTCTCGCTTCTGCCTCGCCTAAAGCGCCTGGGGTTTCTAGCGCCAGGTACTCGGCGCGCAACCGGCGCACAAACGCCGGGCAAGCCAAGCGCTCTCCGAAGTCCTGGCTGCGGTTGACACAAAGTTTTAAGCAGCCACCGCCGGCTTGTCTTCGCCCGGCCTTGAACTGCGGCGAGTCCAAACGAAGTCACAGCGCGATCCAGCTTCTGCACTAGCCTGGCGAGAAAAGTCCAACCCGGAGACCGGAAAGCAAAGTGGGAACCGCTACACCCAAGGCCGCCGGCAGAGGGGCAAAAGGAGCAATTGTCCCGCTCTCCCCTTTAAAAAGCACCTGCGCGGGCCACAGGCATGGGCGGAACCCCCCTTAGGGGAGAGCTGCCCCCGGCTCCAATCCTTCCACCCGCAGCCTCCCTCCTGGCTAGAGCCTGCGCAGCCCCCCTAGTTCCGAGCCTGGGCCGGCTGCAGCCGCGCCTCCCTTCTCTTCCTTAGACCCAACCTGCTCCCGTAAAAAACCTCTCTCCAAAGAGGCATTTGATCTGCCCTGTCCATGGAAGGTGGGGGAGAGGGAGACGCTGAGCAGCAAATGGTGATGGGCGTTTTTGAAATGCGGACAAGTTTTTAAAGAGAGACACCAGACCTGTTCCTAAATCAACTGTGCGAACTCCCCATGAGCCATGTGTCGGGCTTCTCTGGGGTCCACTGGAGCTGGAGGCCAGGCGCCGCCCTAGGCATTCCGAGCCCCAGGACAGCACAATCAATGGGCCCGGGCTCCTCTCTCGGATGGAGCCTCTCCGCCCACTCCGAGCATCACCTTTCCACTAGAGGCAGGACCGTCCTGAGCGCCTCCCCCCAGTGCTCCGGGCCCAGGGCAAACCGCCCAGGCTCCACCCCTTCCCCTAGCTCTGCACCTGCTCCGCCCCCACCTTTTGGAGCGTCCACTCCCTCCAGAGGGCTACTGGTGCTGGTCTGCCTAGGGCACCAGCACCAGAACGGACGACTCCTGGACCTGCTAGAATCCTGCATGAAAACATTACAGCGGGGGCTATTAAACTCCTGCCCTTGAACAGTGCAATAGAGTCCAAGGAAAAAGTTTGTGCATACTGGCTCTGATCCAGACTCCACTGAAATCCACAGACCTCCATTAACTTCAGTGGATATTGAATTAAACACATTATGTTCACCGTTGATAATCCTTCTCTTGACTCAGTTTTATGTTCTTCAGGAAGTCAAATAGTCAACTCATCAAGCTACAATTCCTCTCCTGCTTTGTGTTCTCTGTAATTACATTGCTATTGGTAAGATTTATGGTTCAAAAAATGGTCAATAAAGGCTTCTCCGATGGAGTCCCCACTCGTATAGCTAACTGACATCCTGCTCAACTCTCCTTGAAATCATAAAGAAAATCTGGTTAGAGGCATCCATTGTACAGACAGTTAATCGTTTGAGTGCCATCAGTTCTCTGGGATGGATACAGAAGTGCATAAACCATTTTCACCAGACAAGTGGTAAATAGCTGTGCTTCAAGAAGAGGGCACTCTCACAGATATGTATTGGGAACAGTGATGGCTACACATTTTCCAAAGTGAAGTTTTCACAACTTGAAAATTCTGGCAGGATTCTGGCATCTTTGTTCCTGAATGATCCAAAGCAGTCAAGAAGATTTTCCATTAAATGTTAATTGAAGTAGAAATAGATTACCTTGAATCTATGGAAAGGTCTAACCTTTTGCCATCACCCAACACCAACTTTTTCATTAATCAGTGGGGTCATGAAAAGTGCTGGAACATTATAATTTCCAGTTTTCAGCCTTTGAAAACTATGCATGCTCTGATTTCATTCACTAACTATAAGAATATATTCTTAACTCTCAGTACATGGTAAATACATTATTTGTATTTTAAATAGGCACTGAGTATGTACTATTGGTTTACAAGAGCTTGTATGAGAAAGGACAAAATTTGGACAAAAAGGGAATGGTGAACTCAAATGGCATTGTAATGTAGCATGGGTTTGATCCTGTATTCTTATAGCTTTCAACAGTGTGTGTGCATAAGGAACACCTTCTAAAGATCTAGCATAATAATTAAAGAAGCTGGAAAATATTTTAGCCAACCTTAAGAGTCTTGTAATTTAAACAACACTTTAAACTTCCTGGAAGAGCTTGATGGATGATTAATTTGTCAACCTCTGCAATGCTTGATAGCTATGGGCTTTGCAATGTCCATGGGCAGTAATGCTGTCCTGTTTGGGGGGAAAAACAAAACAGACTCTCACTTCAAAAGGTAACTTTTACATAACTGCTGGCATGGATGCAATAGTTCTCCCGATTGAGATTTAAAACTTATTTTCAATCAAACTTGCCTGAAAGGAAATCAGTGATAACAGAAGTGTGTTACTTTTCCTTAAAGAGCTAGAACTCTTCACAATTTAATATTTTCTAAACAAGAACATATACTCCATCCAGGCATTTTAAATATAAGTGTCATCATAAATTGTGAGGGCACTTATGCAAAACAAACCAGTCAACCACCAAACCAAGGTCTACTTCTTCCCCCCCCCCCCCCAATTCTTGCGGACCACCTGTGGTATTGTTTATTGACTTCAGGTATTTATTGTTTATTGACTTCAGGTAGTCAAGTATGAAAACTAGTACAATTCTTAACATTTTGTTCAGAAGGGAGTAAGATACATGGTCATTCAAGTGTTTTGAGGAAGATGTTTTCATTGCAGTAGACCAACAGCATAGAAGGACCAATTCCCTGCAGTTGCAGGTTTCATCAACTCAAACGGGGACTTAAAAAATCGGTATGAAAGGCTCACTACTAGTCATATCTTTTTAGGGGTAACCCTTAGGCTTACACACTAACACACGGACGCTCACAATGTG